TGTGTTTTAAATCTTTAAATATAAAATTAAACTTATTGTGATGTTTATTATATAAATCTTTTCGACTCTGATTGAAATGAAGGTTAATTCGATAAGTTGTTATCACGTGTTTTAAACACGACTGACGTCATCCAAGTATCAACATCAAAATCGAATTGGAACCGGCATACTTACTGACATTTGATGTTCTAAGTAAAGTAATCTGTCAGTATGATTGTGTGTGCCGGGGTTGGTGGGAGATGACATTTATCAATACTGGGGGAATAGTAGCGTTTCAAATTTACAAGTTCAAGTTTAAACTTGTTATTTTTTTTGAATATTTATGCTAACTTGTTGTGTTATGCATGTACTTGTAGTTTGTGATTGAATCTGTATAACTACGGATTTTATTTTATATTTCGGTGAGTGCGAATCATTATAATCCTCTTGCAAATAAGAACAGAATCAATCTTTTGACCACTTGTCAACTACAAGTAAATTAAATACTCTGATTGTTTGTACACATATCTTCTATTTTATATTTTATAATATATAATGTAAGCAATGTTTTTTTTTTCTGTATTAATCACTGTTTTAAAGATATTGTAACCCGAAAAGGGGTTACCTAAAAATATATGCAATGGCATTAAAATGTCTTACATTATAGTCATTCATATAATGATGGAAATGTGTAAAAATAATCAGAAGAAAAAAAATTCTTCACTTTTAGTTGATTAGTGCTACCAAGATTGATTTACCCAGGCATACACATTTCATTAGCCATACATTTAAGGAGATGTTTGGTGTTGTTGGTGTAGGCCCACGACTCGCCATTTTTAATTCCTCATATGTATCCTTTGCAGACGACACCACATTGATTGTGCTAAACATATAGCTGATATATCGATTCATCTTAATCGAGATTTCAAAATTGTAAATATTTTGATAACAAAATATGTATAATCCCCATGTATGTTGCCACTTTTCAAATGTGACAGCGTATAGATTATATTAACCATTTCAACTTGGTAAATAATGGCGAGGTATCTTCTGGGAAGTTACTTTGGGTCACTATTAACAACAACCTTTCCTGTGCTAACCATATTTCTTTTATTGAAAAGAAAATTCTTACTACCCGAACTTGTCAGAGATCTTTGTCTTTGAGAATTTTTTGTTTTCACGACAATGTTATATAAAAAATAATAATAATATACTCAAGCAAGTCTTTCAATGTATATGTATTTATTTATTTTGTTTGTTTTTTTAATCAAATTTAATGTAATGAAATCTACAATAGATGAGTTTCGAGTTAAAGCGCCCTCGTCCGGTTTCTGTGAGAGAATGGGGGGGGGGGGTAAATTTCTAGCTTGCGTTATCTGGTTCCCGGCTTTCTGATGAGTTATTGAACGTTTATGAGGCGATATTAACCCCATTACGTGGCTAAAATTGGAACGTTTTTACACCAGGGCGCGCAAGTTTCTAAGGTAAAGGTGAAACTCGAAACGTGTCTATTGTGGGAATGTGCTTTGTATGGCAGATTTGTTTTATATAAATTGTACGATTATACAAAATACAGTATAGCATTTGGTGTAATTATTTTTTTTTATTAAATTCAATGTAGTCGGATGAAATATGTCACGTGTATGAATTTATAAGATAAAAGTGTGCAACAGTACTAACCATGTACGGTGATATGCGACGGAGAACTCACGAGAAGCGAACTCTCGCGTTTTGCGTGCGTTTGAAAGCTTCCTCATTCCGTGTGCGTCAACCCAAAGTATTTCTAAGAAATATCGCCGCAAAACATTGCTTAAGGTAGAAGCCTACTACCTATTTTCTTAAAAGGTTGACAATGTTCATTGGTTTATTACGTGCAATGAATCATGGAGCGATTATCTCATGGCACAATGAAATATTAGATTTGTTCGGCCTACGTCATCCTACAATTTGAGATATGGCAAAATAAAAATAAAAAAATATAATACTGACAAATTCACTGTCCACTAATTTAAAAATACAACCATTATTTTCTTGAAAATTGACCTGGTGACCCCCAATTTTTTTTAAGTCAATATCCTTATATTGCCCGGAAGTTTTGACCCTCCCGTTTTAGTATTAGGTAAGTAAGTAATAATATTATGATTGTTTCTCCGATAAGCACTGCGTGATGTTTATTATAGCGCAAATGTTTGCAATTATATTTTAAAACTGTCGCCATATGTCAGCCAGGCACCATCTTCGCCAGCCAAGGAACGTTTGTTCGGGTCACCCCTCCAAACTACTAGTAACCCTTGGCAGATTGAACCACTGCAGTGTGTATTTAATAGGCGCCCCTAACGACAAGAAGGGGATATGCGACAAAAATAATCAGCCAATCAGCTATCTTGTATCAATTTACAGAAGAGCGTTTTTTTTTTAAATGGCGACCCAAGCAGAGCAGATAACGCAGTTTTTCAAGATAAAAAGCCTATCCGATCACCAAAACCATGCAATTGAGGCATTACTAGCTGTAATATTTTAATCTGATATTGTATTGTAGAGTCACTCATGAGATATCTTCTAATGTATTCATTATTCATCCCAAAATAATCATTTAATATTGATACTAGAGAACACACTCAAGAGAACACAAACTATAATTCAACTGTGCATAAGATAACATTTAAAGGGTGGTGGTCCTGACACCGTGCAACATTAGTATTGAAAAACTTTTTTGAAAAAACTAAATTTCCCATAATGCAATGCGCTCGTCTAACGCAAGTCAGTGTGAGTTTTGACCTTGGTGTGACGTGTACTAATTACCGCCTGCGACTCCTTCAATACCTTCCAATCACCAATGAAATGAACTAGTTAAAAGCTTTGTGACGTCTCGGTTTGTACTCATTGGTCTGCGCAACAGTCAAAGTCGCCATCTTTGTTTATATGAGACCAATATCTCGCGCATGCGTAGCGCGGCGACCACCGACATTTAACTATTGACCTAGTTTGTGGGTTACTCTCTACTATGATGACAGGGATTTATTATATTTCCATATTCCGGCTGCCAAGGGAACAACAACATCAATATATAAGTATGGCGACCCCGTCAGCCAGCCAACATATGTCTCAGTCGGAATCAAAAAAATCGGCTGTAGTATACTATAAAGCGGTATTAGTTACCGACGGATGAACGCGAATCATTTGAGCAGACACCTGACCACGTACGACAGACTGTCATGTGACCTTATGTCGGGATGTGCCTGTTCTCTATTGTCATACATGTATCTCCAAATCCGTAACGGCCGGTTCCCTAGCTAATTTGAATAAAGGTTGCTGAGATTTTTTCATTTGTTTCGCGCGACTACAATTTCAAAACGAGTTGTGGATACAAGCACAAACGTGGATATAACAGGAAAATTCCAAGTCGTAAGTCCAGGGTGAGTGTTTTTTATGGCTTTCACGTCATCCAACGTTAGTCAGGTTCCGGAATATTTGTGTTTGCGTATAATATTAGAACGCTTTGACTCAGATCACTTAGGACTGCAAGTCCACATTACGTAAACCAATCGCAATACCATTACATTTCGGATGTCAAATAATCACCTCTTCAATCGTCAGTTGTCTGAGAATTACCCTACTCACAAGGATTATTACAACAGCAAAAAATTAACACCTCGAAACATAATAAATAATACATTTGTCCACCATACGCGCTTTTGTTATGGTGGCATTAAAACGTATTTCAGATCACAATTACACTGGGCCTCACCGATAATATCATTAGACATGGTACCCATCACTATGTACGCTACGAAATAACATCCACCACCAAGACAGGTAAGTAAGAATATTATGGCCGGGATACAGATATACGTCGACTCTGTGAAGGCAGATCAATTTGTCGATATGGTTAGCACTCCCTTTTCCCACTTATCGATCATTTTCCACTAGTAGTCAGTCGCAATATTGAACACCGTTATTTCAGTTTAATGTGGATACTTTTGGCTAAGGTTTGCAACGGCGGCGACACGTAATTTTGCACGGGGGGGGGGATCTGCTCACCAACCTTACGCCGAGAGTGCGAACGAGGCATGCTCCCCCCTACAAAATTGTGAAATAGTAAACCCTCTGAAACGCTATTTTCTGCATTTTGAGGGGCAAATGTTGCTGACACGAAGGGTTTCAGCTTAATTTTGGAGGGGCGACCCCCATCATTTTTACAATTGGGCATCCGCCCCTCAAATCACACCCCCCAACCGCCGGTGACGCCGCCACCGGTTTGTCACAGTTGAATTCAAACACAGTCGCTGCATACTGTTACAGCGTGTAGCAACAATAATTCTAGATCGCTCTTTGATAAATTACAACCCTGATATTATTCGTATTATATCGGTAGTGCATCGATGTATTATGCGTGCACTTGTTTCAGGTAAAAATGCAACTGTTAACCTTTGTTGTCTGTCTAGGCGCATCACCGCTACACTTTTTAAACACACCAAACATGGCCTGCCCATATATTGCCTTAATATGCCCAAACATTATTGCTTTTAAAATGAGCGACCCATACATGCACACGTTATAACTGATTTACTGAAAGTAATTTTTCCCTGGGCAACCACTACCAACAGGACTACCCGACATTTTAGGTTACACAAGCTAACGAGATTTGTGAGTTCAGTTCGATTCGGTAAAAACTGTCTATTCTGCAATTCACCATGATTTGGAATAGGCAATTTTCTGTTCATCGCGAGATTCCGCGTTATGCGTGATAACAAACGTAAATACAGGATAAACAAAGGTCATAGCGTCGTAGTGGCGTCAAATATCGCGTGGGATTCGACAAACGCGAAAGTATTTCGGGGATATTTTAATGCTTAATTATGTGCTGTCCACATTTGATGATGGTCAACTTCAATATAGTTAGGGAATTCAAACGCAATATTCACCTGTCAAAGACTGGCTTTTCGAATTTGAGCTATTGAAAAAGAAATTCGAGTTCAAAATCAAATCGTTCGATTTGTGCGGCAGACGTTCGGTCTACGTCTTTCACACAATACTCAAGATCTCGCAGTTGAACGGAAAATCCCTTATTACGATGTGGTCTTTTTCGCTGTTCAGTTTATCTGCCGCTATTTACTAGTACTATTCAGTATGAAAGCTCGCGTGCTTAGGGAGCCCTGCGCTGCGAAGGTTATGGTAATCACGAATCACGGTTCAACGAACCAAAAATTATGGCCATACTGCAAAGAATATTTGTTTGGGGTTGATCATTGATACAGTATCCTGAACATTGTTGGTTCGAAATATTGCCTATTGCCCAAATATTTGAAATTGTCTTCTCTTTACAAGTAGGTTACCCTCCCCCGTTTTTTTTTTATTATTTAATATTCAAAAGGTAGCTTCAGACACTGTTTCATTACCTCGAGTTCAAAAAAAATGCAAAGGTGTGTGTTTTATTTTTCTCCATTAGCCTTACAATTCTGGAATATAAATATCGGAATATTATCGTGACGTTTATTAAATTAGGTACGTACCCATAAAGATGGCGACTTTTCACGTATGACCTTGTCAAAAATAGCAATAAACAATCTATTGAGTAAATATAGAAACATTACAAAAACTTTCGTGAAACTGTTTTGAGCCACCTCAAATATAAGTCATTTGTGTAAAACATAGGTTTACAGTTCGAATAGTACTCTCGTGGTCGAGACGTCGTCTTATTTTGTTTGACATCATGATTGGGAAGGGTCACGGAGTTTCTGCAGTACGCATTATGAAATAGACAATAAGAAATTGGAAACTCTATTTTTGAATTAGTGTTTTTCACTGCATCTGCCTTTAGCTATTTTTCTGTAAATTTCCACGTAAATTTTAATTTTTACAAATTCCACTCTGCAGACTTTCTAATGGTCAACCCCTATAATAACAGCTGACACTCAACTCGGGTTACGCGATTGTGTGATTATTGTCGTTTGGGAAAAATAGTTAGTATTGACACTCGGGCTCCCTTCTCTCACTGCTTTATTGGTTTTCACAACAAACTATCGACCCTTTTCATGGCGATGAACTACAAGAGAGCTTTCACACGGGATTTCACGGTAGATTTATCTTTTTATTCCGCCATTTTGAGCTTCAATACCCACAATACTTTCGACGTAACGCTACGATCAGGTGACACATAACACCATTGCATTGGACTAAGTATGTATTCAGACACGTAAAATAAAATTGTCCCCAAATAATTTTGCGCCAGAGAGATTTGGGTGGCGATGTCGACCACCATATGGTCGGCTATCCGGCATCCAGCAGTGCACACTGCTCTTTCGCGGCATTAGTAGTTTGGAGAAAGGCGCCATGTTGGATGTGGACGTATATCCGCCGGTCCAATGTATCGTGTCTGTCTCCAATGCACATACAAACTTACTGTTTGTTAGGGCCAAACATAAAGAAACGCTGAATGGCTATGTTTTAATGTCGCTTGCACCTGAAGGCCT